TTCAAATATTTGAAAATTGAGATTTTCCAGCTGGAAAGAAACTAAATTATTGCTAGCTCACTGGGAAAATCTCAAAGTTTTAAGTCGTTTTTGCTCAAAATCGTTTTTGTCTTGCTACTGCTCAAAGAAGTGCTTCAAAATGTTGTTTTATGATTATATTTCAGACAGTTCATTCAAATGATGCATTGATAAGGCATTCATTCATTATGTTTTGACAAAAATGCATTTTTGCAAACATTTTAATAAAAACACTATATTTGCCTGTTTCTCCATATCTCACTTTTAGACTTAATCGTCGTTTCGATGTGATGGGTCACGTCTCACAAAAACATGCTTACCTGCCAACCAGGAGGAACTCCCCGTACACGCCGAGTCTCCTCATGGCCATCAGGAGGCCRCGGACCGTCATGCCCTCGCAGAAACACACCACCACGCGAGCTTTGGGGAGACGTTCCCGCAGTTTCCTCAGGAGCCGGTCGAAGTGTTTCTCGCCGGCGTTGCTGTAGATTTTGTCCGAGTGGGCGATGCACAGGCCCTCCTGGGAGGCCAGCTCCTTGAAGGCCTCCATGCCGCTCTCGCCGTAGTTCCCTGAAGGTGAAACAGCGAAACGGTTTAAGCTGCCGAGGGTTCCCTTCGAGATATCCCTTGTTTTATAGCRCCTTGAAATGTTTCYGCGCACCAGGAAGTGCTTTCAACAAAATAACCTGCATTATTCACTAATGCAAACCCCTCAGCGGTTGTTCGCCGCGTCTCGTCTCCGAGCTCTGATCCGCTGATGATGATGAGACCGGCTGATTGCAATCGTCCACCGACTTTGTTTTGATTCCGAACTGTTCCAATCAAGAGCCAAAGCTGTTAGAGGGTCTAAATCTTCTGCTTCCACGTGGACCCATGTGTTTAACTGTTGCTAAAAAGAAAATAAAAACAGCTCTACAGCCTGAGAGGCGGATTAGACTGAAAATCCAATCARTGCTGGGACGTGTCTTTAAACACGCATGTCATCAGGAGGAAATCACCTCGCTGTAAACCTGCGAAAACATCTGTAGCGTCGATGTGAGGCCACGCCGCACGTTGTTAAAGCTCTATCAGACGAACGCTCAGAGCCACAACGTGTGGCTTTTCCAACAACCCTTTGATGATCTTCTCAATCGTCTCTTTTTCGTTCCCCTGGGAGTGAATGGAAATAATGACGTGTAATTATTTGACTCTCTGTCTCAGCGACGAGGCGGGTGGCGGTGCGTTTAGTCGACAYCCCGTTAGACAACGACTGGAAAACCTGCTCGGAGCAGTCCCACCACACACACACCATTACTGGGACAGGTAATTTATGCAATTTCACAGCTCTAGCTGTTGCCACAGGCAACGAGCTGCGCTTAAAACTTGTCCAGGGCGGCGCAGAGTGAAAACTCGCAGCTCGAGCTCGCCGTGACCACAAGCTCAGATTTAATGAGACAAATTAGCGGCTGTGACAACGTTAGGTGTGTATCATTTGTTGTTATTTATGCTTTTTTTTTTTTTGTGGTGATCCACTTTTCTTCAGTACATTTTTCGGCACATATCTCCTTCCACAATTTTTAGTGTTTTGAACAATTTATATATCAAAACATTCAGCTACTTCAGGAAATTCCAGCTATGAGTTTTGATAATTCAGCAATTTATCCTTTTTGAGATATTTCCTTCTTTTAACTGTTATTGTGCCTCATTGAAAACTGAGCTGTCGCCAACATCCTTTAAACCGCTTAAAATCCTTATAAATCTTTAATGTCTCTTTTACTTTTTCTCTAGTTTTGCTTTTTTGTGTTTTATGTTTTGTTAACTGAAGATTATTATTGTTTGAATTTATATTTGAGGGAAAAGGTGCAGATATTATTAAAAAGATTCTCCTCTCTGCTGCCTTTCGTTTCATTTTATTTGTGTTTTCTTTTTATTGTACAGAGAATTCAATTTAGTTTGTTAAGAAATGAATAAAGTTTGAAACATATACATTAAAAAAATCTTTAATTTCAGCTATCTTTTGGCTTTTTAAAATTTTTGTCTATATTTTAGCTCCTTTCAGCTGTGCATTGTGCGAACATTAGCTTTTTATGCTTCTTTTCTATGCTT